AATTGCGTCGTTGCATTTCACCGGAGTGGCGGCGACTTGGCATCAAGCTTTGATGCAGGAGGATGATGGGAGAAGAATGTTGAGGGACTGGGTAGGCTATAAGGCGCAATTGCAGGAGAGGTTTGAAGAAGTTTTGGATGATCCTATGGCGGAGCTTAAAGAGTTACGTGAAACGGATGGTATAACGGAGTATCATGCTAAGTTCGAATTAATCAGAACAAGATTGAAACTTTCTGAGGAGTATTTGTTGAGCGCTTACTTAGCTGGCTTGAGACTTGAAACTCAGATGCATGTGAGAATGTTTCAACCTCAGAATATTCGTCAATGCTTGGTACTAGGGAGGTTATACGAAAAGGCTCATCCAAGGAAACCTGAAGGTCATCAATGGAGTGGTAACAAACCGAGTATGTTAGGAAGTAATCAATCTAAAGGCTTGATTCCTTTTAAGAAGGAGGAAACAGTTAAGAACAAAGACAACAACCCTCCATTACGGAAGTTTCTCACTAGTGCTGAGATGAGTGAGAGGAGAGCAAAAGGTCTTTGTTATTACTGTGATGAAAAATACACTCCTGATCATTATTTGAAACATAAGAAGACGCAGTTGTTTCTGTTGGAGTATGAAGAAGAAGAGGAGTTAGAAGCTGATATTGATAAGGAAGAAGAGTGTGTAGAAGGAGAAGGAGCAGGCGAGTTAGCTCAAATTTCAGTAAACGCTGTCTCAGGTGTTTCTAACTACACGACTATGAAGGTGAAGGGTGTCCATGGGAAGAAAAATTTGTATGTCTTGATTGATTCAGGATCTACACATAATTTCATGGATAAGCGTATAGCAGATTTGTTGGGGTGTAAGTTACAGCCAACAGGAAAAACGAGAGTATCTGTGGCAGATGGTAGTAAAATTAGAGTATGTGGGAAGATTGAGAAGTTCAAATGGCAGTTTCAGGGTCACCACTTTCAGGCTGACTTCATGGTAATCTCATTGGGGTGTCATGATCTTGTTATGGGAGTGCAGTGGTTATCTACACTTGGACCCATTACATGGGACTTCCAAGAACTACAGATGCAGTTTAAATGGGGAAGGAAAAAGGTTTTGTTGCATGGCATTAAACCGGGTTCTGTGAGGGAAGTAAAAGCGAAGCGTGTAGAGGAGTTGATGGATAAGGAGGTGCAATTACACATGTTATATGTTAAGGAGGAAACAGAGGAGGATGAGTGGAGTGTGAAGGCGGTAGAAGTGGAGAAAAAATCTGTGCAGGAAGAGTCACAGATTACGAAGTTAGTAGAGCAGTATAGTGACATCTTTCAGGAGCCAACATCACTTCCTCCATACAGAGAACATCATGATCACAAGATCACTTTAACGGAAGGATCCAACCCTGTGAATCAGAAACCCTACAGATATGCAGTGTATCAGAAGGATGAGATTGATAAAATGGTCAAAGAGTTGTTGGACGCTGGGATGGTACAACCGAGTTCAAGTGCTTACGCCTCTCCAGTGGTATTGGTGAAGAAAAAAGATGCTACTTGGCGGCTGTGTGTTGATTACAGGAAACTAAACAGCATGACAGTTAAGAACAGGTTCCCTATTCCGTTGATTGAGGATTTAATGGATGAGTTAGGTGGATCAAAAGTGTACTCGAAGATTGACTTGCGTGCAGGATATCATCAAGTGAGGATGGATCCAAATGATATCCATAAAACAGCATTTCGAACTCACAGTGGTCACTATGAGTATAGAGTGATGCCTTTTGGTCTCACAAATGCACCAGCAACCTTCCAAGGATTGATGAGTGGAGTGTTCAAAGAGTATCTGAGGAAATTTGTGCTGATTTTTTTCGATGATATACTGATATATTCTTCCTCGTTTGAGGAACATTTGGAGCATCTGAAGTTGGTATTTGAATTGATGAGGATCAACACCTTGTATGCAAAACGGAGCAAATGTGCTTTTGCTACATCACGTGTAGAATACCTTGGTCATTTTATTGAAGAGGCAGGAATATCAACTGACCCAGCTAAGGTAAAGGCGGTATTGGAGTGGCCTATTCCTAAAAACTTGAAAGCTTTGCATGGGTTTCTGGGTCTTGTTGGATACTATCGACGCTATGTGAAGGAGTTTGGGGTAATTGCTCGACCTTTGACGGCTTTGACTAAGAAAGACGCGTTTGTGTGGCATGAGGAAGCACAAAGTGCTTTTGAGCTGTTGAAGCAGAAGTTATGTGAAGCACCAGTACTTGCTTTACCTCGTTTTGATAAGCAATTCGTGGTGGAGACGGATGCTTGTGGGACGGGAATAGGAGCTGTGCTTATGCAGGAGGGTCGACCTCTGGCTTATATTAGTAGACACTTGAAGGGAAGACAGCTTGCTTTGTCAATTTATGAAAAAGAATTGTTGGCAGTGATCTTTGCGGTGCAGAAATGGAGACATTACCTCCTGACTCAACACTTCATTATCAGAACTGACCAAAGGAGCTTGAAGTACTTACTGGAGCAGAGGCTAAATACTCCCATTCAGCAACAATGGCTTCCTAAATTGCTGGAGTTTGATTACGAAATTCAATATAAGCAAGGCAAGGAAAACTTAGTGGCTGATGCTTTATCCAGGGTGGAGGGATCTGAGGTATTAAACATGGCTATGACAGTGCTTGAATGTGATTTGTTGAAGCAAATTAAAGAAGCTTATGAGACAGATTCAGGGGTAAAGGCATTAATAGAGGAGTTGAAGAAAAATCCTAAAGCAAAGAAACATTTTGCTTGGGATTTCGGTGTTTTGAGAAGGAAGTCTAAGATTGTGGTTCCAGCTGAGGCCACAGTGCGTACTACTATATTGGAATGGTTACACGGGTCTGGTCAAGGGGGACATTCAGGACGTGATAAAACAATACAGAGGGTTAAAGGGATCTTCTACTGGAAAGGTATGTCTAAAGATATACAAGCCTTCTTGCGCAGATGTATTGTGTGTCAACAGTGCAAATACGAGACAGTAGCTACTCCGGGTCTCTTGCAACCGTTGCCTATACCTGAAGCTGTGTGGACTGACATTTCCATGGACTTCATTGATGGTCTTCCACAGTCCTTTGGAAAGTCGGTGATACTGGTTATTGTTGATAGGTTCAGTAAAGCTGCTCACTTCTTAGCTCTGAGTCATCCTTATACAGCATCCTCTGTGGTTCAAGTATTTCTGGATAACTTCTTTAAACTACATGGGTTTCCGCGATCAATTGTTAGTGATCGAGATGCTGTTTTTGTGAGTGATTTTTGGCAGGAACTCTTTCACCTGCAGGGATGTAAACTAAACCTTTCTACAGCTTACCATCCTCAGAGTGATGGCCAGACTGAGATTGTCAACAAGTGCTTGGAGACGTACTTGCGCTGTATGACAAGTGACAAGCCTCAGCTTTGGTCAAAGTGGTTACCCCTTGCGGAGTTTTGGTACAACACTACTTACCATTCGGCAGCTTTAACCACACCCTTTGAGATTGTCTATGGACAACAACCTCCAATCCATCTACCTTACTTACCGGGAGAGACTAATGTTCAGGTGGTAGCTAAGTGCCTGCAAGAACGTGAAGATATGTTGCTGATTTTGAAATTTCATTTACTCAGAGCTCAACATCGCATGAAGCAAATGGCTGATAGGGGGCGTAGTGAGAGGAAGTTTGAAATCGGTGATTGGGTCTTTTTGAAACTTCAGCCATATCGGCAGCGTTCGGTGGCAATAAGGAGCTCTCACAAGATTTCACCTAAGTACTTTGGTCCATACAAGATTTTGGAGAAGATGGGTGAGGTTGCGTACAAGTTGGAACTTCCTGCAACGACACAGATTCATCCGGTGTTTCACGTTTCACAGTTGAAGCAACTAGTGGGAGATGTGAGTGTTGCAAATCAGCTGCCAGATGTGGTGTATGAGTCGACTACTAAGGAACCAGAGTATTGTCTTGCGAGGAAGATGGTTAAACGCCAGGATAGAGCAGCTACGAAAGTCTTGGTTAAGTGGAAAAACCAACCGGAGGATGAAGCTACTTGGGAGTTTTTGTATGACTTGCAGCAGAAGTTTCCTGAGTTTAACCTTGTGGACAAGGTTCTTTGAACATGGGAGATTTGTTACGGGAATAATGAGTAAGTAAGAGGTGACACGTGGAGGGAAATGATTGATTGAGAGTGTTCGTTAGAGGTTGTTAGCGAGGGAGAATAAAGGAGCACGTGGCGAGTTATCACTCGACGAAGCTGGATAGTTTGTTAGAGGCAATTCTATATAGCAGAGTAGTTGTAACTGAGAAATGTATTCGAAATCATTCTTGNGAATAATGAGTAAGTAAGAGGTGACACGTGGAGGGAAATGATTGATTGAGAGTGTTCGTTAGAGGTTGTTAGCGAGGGAGAATAAAGGAGCACGTGGCGAGTTATCACTCGACGAAGCTGGATAGTTTGTTAGAGGCAATTCTATATAGCAGAGTAGTTGTAACTGAGAAATGTATTCGAAATCATTCTTGTAAACTCTTTAAATCTGGACTTATCTTTGAGGAATATACGATTCATTGTTTGGGAGAAGATTCTTCTTGATTTGTGATCTTCTACAGGTGAATCTCGTCTCTTCGTTTTATGAACGTTGATTCGATCTATCGGTAACTAGTTTTACCTTTAACACAAACACAATCTATAATGACGTTTGATGTCTTAGATTTGTGGGTTTCTCTTTTTTGACTTTCTGGGTTTACTTCAGTTCTCCTTTGGAGACTAGATTATGGTGTTACAGCACTGCTGCAGATGTGGGTTTTCTCCAAAAAGCTCTAATCTTGGCCTTATACACTGATTTGGAGTATATGTATTTAGGTTTTGTTCTGTCTGCACATAGATGGTCTCGTGGAGACATGATTTAGTTTTAGGTGTTGTAATACAAAGTTGAGATTTTTGTAGTGTGTAGATAAGTTTATCAATCTTCAGTTAGTGTGGTTGATTATCCTCTGGCGTTCTGGGATTTGTTTCATCTCTTATGTCAGATGAGGACTTTTTACCCATCTGATGATTCTTGCACTAAAGAATCACTCCTCACTTCCTTGAATCCACAATCATGGCTTCAGGTTGAGAGAGGGAAGCTCTCTTCCTCCTCTCCGTAAGTTTCTCTCTTTAATTCTTTCCCCTTGAGAGACTTTTTGTTAACCTTTGGTCTTATGTTAGTCATCCACTGTGCAGAGGATCATTTATCAAAGTCCCCGAGCCGCAGCTACTGCCTCATTATAAACCTCTTGACTATGTACAAATTCTTGCTCAGATTCATGAAGAACTCGAGTCTTGCGCTTTACATGAGAGGTCGACTCTGTATCTATTGCAGTATCAAGTCTTTAGAGGTCTTGGAGAGACCAAACTCGGACATAGAAGCCTTATATCAGCTTGGCAAGAAGCTACAACTGTCAATGAGAAAGTCGTGTTTGGGTCTTGGTTAAGGTATGAGAAACAAGGGGAAGAAGTTATAGCTGATTTGCTTTCTTCTTGCGGTAAGTATTCAGAAGAGTACGTGCCGCTGGATATTGCATCTTATGTACTTGATATTGCTGCTACTTCCCCTAAGGCAGCATCTGTGAAGCTGAAGCTCCAGGTTTCGAAACATGTTGTCTTTAAGATAGGAGAAGAGAGAGTATCTTGTGACAGGAAGAGATTCACAAGTCTTTCACCTCCATTTCACGCCATGCTCTGTGGGAACTTCGCAGAATCGCGTCTTGATGAGATAGACATGCCAGAGAATCATGTCTCGTCGTCAGCTATGTGTAATAGCAAAGTTAGCAGAGATAAATACCAATCTAAAGTTCACCAAGAACCTAAGAAAGGGGAAATCTAGCCTAGAAAATGATCGGGAAAGAAGGATCACCTTGAAGGAAACAAGATCCCAAATGGATTTGGATTGTACTCAGGGAGCGTAAGAGAGAGAGAGAGATAAGGATAAAGACAATATTATTCTGATTGATTCTCTGCAAATGCAGTCAAGAGGTACATAAAGAGCATCAGCAACGGTCACATACGACTCATAGCTGGCAAGATAAAGACAAAAGAACTTTAGGATAAACCCATAACAATAAACCAAAGTGCATAAACCGTAAATTAAAGATAGGATAAACCGGTTTAGGTGTTAACAGCTTATGAGCCTGTAACACTACTCCCCGTTTCAGAACTTCCTTGTCCTCAAGGATCAAAGTGAGGGAACTTGGCAATGAAATCCTGATAGAACTCCCAAGTTGCTTGATCTGGGGGAAAACCTTTCCACTGCACGAGCACTTTTGTTACAGCAGCATTTCGGTGTTTCACCATCCTCTTCTCCAGAATACACTCTGGTTCCTTAGCAGTGCCCAAGTCTTGGTAATACTGAGGTAAGGAGGGAGTGTCAGAGGGAGGGTTTGGACACAATTTGAGCTGACTGACGTGGAAAGTGTCATGGATCGCAGCTTCAGCGGGAAGGGCTAGCTTATAAGCGACAGAGCCAACCCTCTCTAGTACCTGGAAAGGGCCGTAGAAGCGAGCTGAGAGTTTATGCGGGATGTTTCGAGCTTTCATGGTTTTCTGACGGTATGGTTGGAGTTTCAGGTAGACATAGTCACCAACTCTGAATTCACGGTGAGACCTGCGGGTATCTGCTGTCTGTTTCATGCGGTTCTGAGCACGGAGGAGATGAAACTTCAGCATGTTGATGATTTCTTCTCTTTTCTGCATACTTCTGTCAACAACTGCAGTGGAGCTTTCACCGGGCAAGTAGGGTAAGTGTGTTGGTGGAAATTGACCATAGATTACTTCAAAGGGAGTACATCGTATGGAGGAGTGGTATGTGGTGTTGTACCACCACTCAGCTAACGGAAACCACTTGCTCCAAGTGTGAGGTGCTTCAGCAGTCATGCAACGGAGATAGGTTTCCAGTGTCTTATTCGTAGCTTCGCTTTGGCCGTCTGTTTGCGGGTGATAGGCCGTGGAGTGTTTCAGATCGACTCCTTGAACGCGAAACAACTCTTTCCACACTTCACTTAAGAATGTTGGATCCCTGTCACTAACAATGTCCTTCGGCAAACCATGCAGTTTAAAGATGTTGTCAAGGTAAGCTTGAGCTACCTCAATAGCGGTGTAAGGATGAGACAAGGCGATGAAGTGAGCATTCTTGCTCAGCCGGTCTACAACCACCAGGATACAATGCTTGCCGCTTGAGGGAGGAAGACCTTCAATAAAATCCATACCAATAGATTCCCAAACGCCATTAGGAACAGGTAATGGCTGTAAGAGACCAGGTTTTGCAGCCAAATCGTTCTTGTTTTTCTGGCATATGGAGCAGTTCCTGACGTAGTGTTGTATCTCAACGTTCATACGAGGCCAGTAAAAGAGGGATTTGATCCGTTGGAGAGTGGCATCCCGTCCAGAGTGTCCACCGATTGCAGAATCATGTAGCCAACGCAGAATATGGAGCTTAACCTCTTTACTGTTACCCACAACCAACTTTCCTTTTCTCCTTAACTCATTGTTGACAAACGTAAAGGAGGGGTGTGAAGTATTGTTTACCTTGAGCTCAGAGATTATCTTCTGTAGGTTGCGATCTGTCTCCCATAAAAGCTTGAGCGAATCAAAGAATCCATGGTGAGGTTGAGATAGAGTGATGCTGAGGATTTGGGAACCAGATACCCGAGAAAGCGCATCTGCAGCAACATTTTCCTTCCCTTCTTTTTATTGTATCTCAAAGCTGTAACCCATGAGCTTAGACAACCACATATGCTGGAACGGTGTGGTGATCTTTTGCTCCATCAAAAACTTGAGGCTCTTCTGGTCGGTTTTGATGATGAAGTGTCGATGAGCTAGGTATGCGCTCCAGGTTTGTACTGCATGTACCACAGCCAACAGCTCCTTCTCGTAGACTGAGAGACCCTGATGTCGAGGTCCAAGAGCTCTACTTATGTAGCAGATAGGGTGATTGTCCTGCATTAGGACCGCTCCTATGCCTGTGTTAGAGGCATCAGTCTCCACGACAAAGGTCTTGTCGAAATTTGGCAAAGCTAAGACTGGTGCTGTTGTTAACGCCTCCTTTAGTTCCTGAAAAGAGGTTGTTGACGCATGATCCCATGAGAACCCATCCTTCTTTAGTAGAGATGTTAGAGGTCTTGCAATTACGCTGTAAGCTTTAATGAACCGTCTGTAGTAATTGTCAAGACCCAAAAAACTGCGGAGCTGCTTCTGTGAAGATGGTGTAGGCCAGTGTTTAATTGTGTTGATCTTGCGAGGATCAGTGCTGACACCGTCAGCAGAGATAAAGTGGCCTAGATACTCAATAACGGTAGCACCAAACGTACACTTAGAAGGCTTGAGGAATAACTGCGCCTGTTGGAGTAGCTGAAAGACCTCTCTTAGGTGGTTGAGATGATCTTCCCATGAGGCACTATAGACGAGGATGTCGTCGAAAAATACCAAGACGAATTGCTGTAGAACACCTTCGAAGATCTTGTTCATTAAGCTTTGAAAGGTGCAGGGGGCATTGGTAAGGCCGAATGGCATTACTAGGTACTCGTAGTGGCCCGCGTGGGTTTTAAAGGCAGTCTTGTAAACGTCTTCAGGGGACATTCGCAGTTGGTGGAAACCGGCACGAAGATCCAACTTGGAGAAAAATTTAGCTCCACCTAACTCATCAAGTAAATCCTCCAGTAAAGGGATTGGGTACTTATCTTTGATGGTTTGTTTGTTGAGACCCCGAAAGTCCACGCAGAGACGCCAGGAACCGTCCTTTTTCTTAACCAATACGACTGGAGAGGCATATGGGCTTGAGCTACACTGAATGATCCCTTGATCAAGCATTTCACGGACCATCTTATCAATCTCGTCCTTCTGAGTGGTTGAGTAGCGGTAAGGACGCAAGTTCACTGGGTTGGCTCCTGTTTCCAAAGGAATACGGTGATTGAAACCGTCTCTGAATGGAGGTAGAGTAGAAGGTACCTCAAACAGAGCAGAGAAATCATGTAACAGAGATTGCAGGGAAGGGTCGTCAGCCATTCCGTTGTCACATGCTTCGAGGTGGTGAAGCGTAGAGCCAAAGGTAATGCCATCGTTTTCTTCCACTGTGGGAGAGATTTCGCGGACCTGAACCACAGCTATACTTGGTTGTTGTAACATCAGTTTGTTGAAAGTGCTCCCTTTGATCACCTTACAACCATTTTTTGTAACTCCCCGTAAGACATTCTTTTGACCATTGAGCGTAAACTCCATGCGCGGGTTTAGGAAGTCCCAGAGGATTGGGCCAAGGGTGGAGAGCCACTGGACGCCTAAGACGAGATCACAACAGTCAAGTGGCAAAGTTCTTATCTCAGAGGTGTAGGAGTAACCTTGTACCTTCCAGGAGAAGTTACGACATTTGAATTTGGTCAACATAGTGTTTCCATAAGCATCTGTGACATCCATCGGTTTGGTCTTTTCCAACAAGAAACCTATCTCATTAGCCACGTTTATATCGAGGAAGTTGTGAGTGCTGCCATTGTCGATGAGGATGTAAAGTTTACGTTTGCCGTACTGACCAATAACGCGCATACAGTTGAATGTAGAGGAGCATGTGAGAGCATTGACTGAAATCACCGGGGTTGGTTGGGTATTGGTATCTGGTGCAGCCTCGACAACTGGCTCTGGTTCTTCATCAGAATCAGAAGGGTCAGTGGTATCATCATCTTCGTCACCCTCGAGCACAAAGATTTGTGAACGTTTGTGTTTTGAGCTGTGGCCGGGGGTGTAAACTTCGTCGCAGAACATACAGAGTCCTTTAGCGCGACGTTCCTGCATCTCTTGGTAAGTGTATTTCTTAGGTTGTTTGTCTGTATTGGTGGGAAAGGAGGGGGCTTTTTGTGGTGGTTTGGTTGTGGTGGGCGTGGGTAGGAGGGGGGTTGTGGTTGAGGGTTTTTGTGAAGTGGGTTGGTTTTGTTTCCAGGGTGGGGTGTAAGGTGGTTTGGTGTGTTTGATGGTGGTGTGGAGGAGTGAAGATTCATGAAGCATAGCGATTTTAGCAGCGCTAGCCACGGTTGTAGTCTCGAACTGTCTTGTGTGAAGAGACAGGTGACGGTTTAGGTTGGCTAAGAAGATGCTAAGAGCATGAGCTTCGGGAAGGATGAGACGCATTCTAGCTGTTTCAAATTTGTCAAGAAACTCAACAACGTTGTTGGAGCCTTGTTTCAAACTGACAAGCTCAGCAAGAGGGTCATCATAAAGTTCGCTAAAGCGGCCTGAAATAGCTACCACGTATTCGGTCCAAGAGGGGA